CTTACAGCACCTGGTGTTCCCAAGTGGTCACCCATATAGGTACTGAATTAGCTCGACATTGCTTAACTTCAGTGATCGTACGGGAAGCGGTGTGGCCGTAAGCATATATAAGAATCACGATACAGTTTGTTTTTTTTAGGTGGGAAAGATAATAATGATTTAGTGATACAACTCTTACTAATTAACCCATAGCTGGGAGGTGGAGAGGTGGATTCGTACCTTTTCCAAGGGTATTTGCGCCTCAGTGAATATAACGAACCCGACTGGAATTGGAACACGGCTCTCCGATTTCCAATTCCGAGCAGTTATCCATTACACCACTCGCACATCCAAGCTTACAGCACCTGGTATTCCCAAGTAGTCACTGACCTAGGCACTGACCAATATCAACGTTGCTTAACTTCGTTGACCGTACGAGAACCGGTGTTTCAACGTGTTTCAGAGTGATATGGCCATAAACCTGACCTGTCGAATTTGGAAATTAAGGACTGTGTATCTCCAGCCAAAGATCTGAGACCTATTGCGTAGATCGACAGATATGAAGGAACGCGTGAATAGACGTGTATGAAAAGTTCACTATAGAGAGGTATGGATAGAGAGTACATGGATAGGGAGTTACTCATAGATTTAAACGAGTAAACAGATATCAAATAGACATGGGCGCATAGAGAACTATAATAGTTTCGGGGAGATCTCCTGTCAGGAAAAAGTCAGCGGTAGGAAGAAATATATGAAAATAGTGACAAGAATAATTCTTAGAATCAGAAAAAGACTGGTGGAATTTCTGGAACACATAATGAAAGAAGTCTTGGAAAATTTGAAACTCAAATGACATATCGTGACAAGAATAAAGTGAGTAACTATTGCTAAGAGCTACGGAGAGGAAGTTGTGGGTAGCCATGATCGCCCACGTCCTGAAGAAAAGGAATCGATCGTACTCGGGATCATTGGGTCAGTAAGAACGATCATTTCCTTAGCTGCATAGTATGTGGTTCGCCAGGGCTAAGTATGTTTACCCCTATTGTCTACCAAAGACATTCTGCTAACGACTGGTAGATGACATTACTAAAGCAATATATAAAGAAAAGGTTGCAAAGACTCCACTTCTATTTTCGTTTTTAACCACAAGATACCTTAGAGATACCCCTACCGTTCCCAACGATCCTCATATCTTATTGGATACATCACAGGAATACGCGATATCACAGGTATATGCAACCAGTTGCTTAGTGGAGTTATATAATTGGCACTGCAGCCAGAAATAATCATTTCTTTTTTTCCAAAACGGTGGAGTAATTGATATCGGCTTGGATTGAGGAATCGGAGAGCCGAGTTCGAATTCCAGTTGAATTCATTACATTTGCTTACGTGCTAATACCCTTGGGAAAGGTATGAATCCTCTTCTTCTCCCCACCCCCAGCTATGGGTAAATAGCAAGACAGACCGGGTTCCATAGCCTTGGATGGCAACTGGCCTACCGCAGAAACAAATGGCAACCTACTGCGGGAAAAAAATCTGCCTCGTCAGTCATGTATCGAAAGATAATTCTTCGCCTAAGCGTATATCACGTATGGCATATAACTGACTGACTGATCGATTACGAACTCCAGATTCTTCTGCTTATATGTGTCACGTCTCTTCGTATGGCTCTCCACAATTTCCTGTCCTTATTTTATGCGTACTAATATAATTTTATTTCAGTTTGAATGTTACATAGGTTTATATATTTTTGTAAGAAAATCAGGATTTAAATAAATAAAAAAAGTTCTACATATGAATGATTCAATTGTAAGAAATTAATAGGTCGTGAATCCGATTAGCTAGGTTTGCGATAGTCAGTGACGACAAGCTTTCCCACATTCCCTTCGGCATTGTGCCACAAACATGCATTTGCATGTTAAATAAAGCCTAGGATCAAAGTGAAGTATTTGTTCCAGCAGCAGACAGCCGGACAACGATTACAAAATTCTACTTTTTAGGACAACACACTTCAATGACTACAAAACTGTCATTTTCAGGATAACACTCTTCAGCAACTACAAAACTGTCCTTTTCAGAACAACACACTTCAATGACTACAAAACTATACTTTTCAGGACAACACTCTGCAATGACTACAAAACTGTCCCTTTTCAGGACAACAGTTTTTAACGACTACAAAATTGTCCTTTTCAGAACAACACATTTCAATGACTACAAAACTGTCCTTTTCAGGACAATACTCTTCAGCGATTACAAAACTGTCCTTTACAATGACTTTTCAGGACAGTACACTTCAATGACTACAAAATTGTCCATTTTCAGGACAACAGTCTTCAACAACAACAAAACTGTCCCTTTTCAGGACAACAGTCTTCAACAACAACAAAACTGTCCCTTTTCAGGACAACACACTTCAATGACTACAAAACTGTCCCTTTTCAGGACAACAGTCTTCAACAACAACAAAACTGTCCCTTTTCAGGACAACACACTTCAATGACTACAAAACTGTCCCTTTTCAGGACAACAGTCTTCAACAACAACAAAACTGTCCCTTTTTAGGACAACACACTTCAACGACTACAAAACTGTCCCTTTCAGGACAACACTCTTCAATATCTACAAAACTGTACTTTTCAAGACAACGCTCTTCTCACCTTCTAAATGGACATGCAGATATATTTTTTGTCTAATGCACCCTTATTTTGTCGATGTTAACAAAAATAAACTTTTTTACTCAAGTTTTCGTTTTGTTTGTTTGTTGTCTTCCGTCGTTCAATATCTGTTTTCGGGCCATTATACCACCCGCATCAGAGGGACATCTCTACAGACACGCCTTCATTTAGTATTATTTCCATATTGCTCAATCTATTACTAATAACGGCTCCAAGACTTTAGAGCAAAAACAAATATTAAAAGACCAGGATGTTTTGACAGATTTTAATAGGTTTGGAAGTCTATGAAATGACTTGGGCGTGTGGACAGTTATAAAATGACTCGGTTAGACAGAATAGATGTGAAAAGGCATATGAAATAACTTTCATTGATAGAGAGATCTGAAAGGGCTTGGATGTATAGACAGCGATAAAAAAAAATAAACAAGTAAAATGAGAGCGACAGAGATAAACAGATAGAGAGATATGGAATAATTTTGACTGGATAGAATATGAAAATGATGGACACGGAATGTCTTGGATCGACACACACGTGAAATTATTTGATTATATAATCTGCTATGAAATATTTGTGGACAGAGGGAAATGTAATTGAGTCGATAGGCAGAAAGGAAAAGATATGTACAGGCAATTATGAAAATTCTTGTATGATTTAACACAGACCGTACTAAACTTTTTTGTATATTGCTCCCTTTTTATTAAAAGCGATTCTTCGTGGTCCCCTTAAGAGAAAAAGAATTTGAACATAGGACATGCTGTGACAGTGCTAGTTTCGCCCGACACTGCAAATTTTTTTATCACATCACCCCAAGCCACTAAAAAACAAGGTTTACTGAATCTAGAAAGAATAAGAAAAAAAATTTATTAAGGGCCGAGAAGAATAAAAGCAAGAGAATCAAGAAAAAGTAGATAACGATTGACATTGGATTTAAATTTTTGAAGATCAAAGTTGGTTGGAAAGCATGAAGCCGGAAGATAGTTCCAAAAGTGAGAAGTGCGAGAGAAGAAACTGCTAGCATAGAACTTACGGTTATATCCACAGCATAAAATGGTATGGTATAGTAACTTATGATTACATCCATAGCATAGAATGGTATGGTATAGTAACTTATGATTACATCCATAGCATAGAATGGTATGGTATAGTAACTTATGATTACATCCATAGCATAGAATGGTATGGTATAGTAACTTATGATTACATCCATAGCATAGAATGGTATGGTATAGTAACTTATGATTACATCCATAGCATAGAATGGTATGGTATAGTAACTTATGATTACATCCATAGCATAGAATGGTATGGTATAGTAACTAATGTTTACATCCATAGCATAGAATGGTATGGTATAGTAACTTATGATTACATCCATAGCATAGAATGGTATGGTATAGTAACTAATGTTTACATCCATAGCATAGAATGGTATGGTATAGTAACTTATGATTACATCCATAGCATAGAATGGTATGGTATAGTAACTTATGATTACATCCATAGCATAGAATGGTATGGTATAGTAACTTATGATTACACCCATAGCATAGAATGGTATGGTATAGTAACTTATGTTTACATCCATAGCATAGAACGGTATGGTATAGTAACTTATGATTACATCCATAGCATAGAATGATATGGTATAGTAACTTATGGTTACATAGAATGGTATGGTATAGTAACTTATGGTTACATAGAATGGTATGGTATAGTAACTTATGGTTACATCCATAGCATAGAATGGTATGGTATAGTAACTTATGATTACATCCATAGAATAGAAAGCGAAACGGGCCACATGTGGGCCGTGGGCCGCACTTTGCCCATGGCTGATTTATAGAAAAGGCACAGGGAAGCTACGTCACAGCGGTGGGAAATTGACTGAAGCCGAGATCCCACGTCAGAACCAATAACATTGCAGATTACTCTCTGGATTTTTATCAAGAATCTCTAAACATATAGCAGGAGCGCCAGACCATATGTGGCAGCAATATGTAATATCCAAAGCATGGGCGAATGGTAGACTTATAAATATGAAAACTCAAGTCATATTATGAAATAACCTTGTGAGATCGAATCTTTCACATGGATATCATGCATAAATAAATTCAGAAATATCTAAATTGTCAGCTGTATACAAACGCTTTCTAAGATCAATGGTTAAAAATGGCTTTGAGCGAGTGAAGTCTGTGTTGTCTTGGTGAAAACCATTCTTCTTTGAACTTTGTGAACTGGCGGTATAGAATCGGAAACAAAGAACTGTACCCGTTTACAGAAACCACATCCTTTGATGATTACCAAAAGCGGCAACAGATAAAATGGTTATCTCATATAACTCAAAGAGAAAATAATGACATAATCAAGATGTTGACGTTCCACACTACTTCAAATAAAAGGTTAGCAAAGAAATCTAGGCGATTTCGTTCATATTCTTTTAC